GACTGAAACAGGCTCCAGGCTCTGAGCTGGCAGTCAGCACAGAGCCTGACGCGGGGCTCGAACCCACGAACCGCGAGATCATGACCTGAGTGAAAGTCGGACGCCCAACCGACTAAGCCACCCCGGCGCCCCTTACCCTTGATTTTGAAACAAGTCTCAAGACATTGGAAATCAGTCAGTAAAGGACGGTGATCCTTCATTGGAAACTAATGAGGTGACCTCTATGATTGCCCCAGGTTACTGCTTGTAGAAAGTTTTTAGGCTGCTGTTCAGGAAAGGAAAACTTAGGCACAGTTTGGCAGTCTCTGTGAAGTGAATAAACAGAGTTGGGACTTTAGGGAAGCAAAGGAAACTGGCAGAATACCAAAGAGGGGAGAGCTTCACAGAGAACATTCTAAAATATGCAAAACATCCCCTTTGAGTACAGGCACTGGGCACTTATCAGCCCATGTCTGTAAGGAAATATTTGAGGATGGAGAGGGACTCACTCAAAAGTATTAGAGGAAACAATCCTTGGAGCCCACATATGGCCAGAAATAGTGTGTGGTCCCACCAACCAAAGTGAAAAACATCAAGATTCACAAGGAATAACATAGAAAGTACTCAGGAGAGGTTTGCCTCAGTAGGTGTAAAAAGTTAACTCTAGATAAGGGCTGCTGTGGCCCTGTATAACAAACCTTAAAATTAGGATCCCAAAAGATCAAACTAATCCCAGGTCACTTAACCATGTCTCAGAACAAAGTGCAAGAATACTTACAAGAATACAAAAATGTTCAGCATCCAACATGGTAAAACACACAATATCTGCCATTGGATAACACATTACCATGTATGCAAAGAAACTGGAAAATAACAACCATAAAGAGGAAAAAAATAATCTGAAATTGACTCAGAATTAACACAGCAAATATAATTAATAGACTATAAGTTCATAGTGTACATTAAAACTATATTCCATATGTCCAAGAAACCAGAAGAAACATTGAACATATTAAAAAGAAACAAGAAAAATATTAAAAAAGGATCCAAATTAAGCTTCTAGAGGACTAGAAGATGAAACAATGTGTAAGATGAAAAATACACTGAATGGCATCAATGACATATTAAACATTGTACACAGAAGAAAAAATTAGTGAACTTGAAGACATAGCAACAGAAAGAAGCTGATGTAAAACACAAAACTTTAAAGCACCAAGCATCAGTGAGTGGTGGAACATAGTCAAGTGGTCTGATCTACATATAACTGAAGTATCTGAGGACAAGAAGGGGTATAGAAAATATATTGCAAGAAATAGTTGCTGATGAATCTTTGAAATGAAATAGCTCACCCCAATAGAAGACAAATTATGTAAAAAGAAAGCGAAAGAATTGAGAGAATAACTGAAAAATTTCCAAAGTTACTAAGCACCTGGGTGGCTCAGTTGGTTAAACGTCCGACTTTGGCTCAGGTCATGATCTCACAGTTTGTGGGTTTGAGCCCCGCGTCAGGCTCTGTGCTGACTGCCAGCTCAGAGCCTGGAGCCTGTTTCAGATTCTGTGTCTCCCTGTCTCTCTGACCCTCCCCTGCTCACACTGTCTCTCTCTCTCTCTCTCTCTCTCAGAAATAAATAAAAACATTTTAAAAATTTAAAAAATTTTTCCAAAATTACTGAAAACTGTCAGCAGACCTAAGGAGTTCTCAACAAATCTCAAGCACAAGAAGTTTTTTTTTAATTACCAAAGATTATTATAATTAAATTGCTTAAAGCAAGAAAAAATCTTAAGAGCAGTCAGAGAAAATGACACATTGTATACTAAGGAACAAAGATGAGGATAACAGCACATTTATTTTTGGAAATGATGCAAGATAAAAGATAATGAAGGAATATATGTAAATTACTAAAAGACAAAACTATCAACCCAGGCCTCTAGCTAACAAAGCTATCTTTCAAAAGCAGAGATGAGGTACTTTTTTCATATGTACACAATCTGAACAAATTTATCATCAACAAACTTACACTATTAAAAAAGTTTAAAGAAACAGACACTTCTCCAAAGAGGACATCCAGATGGCCAACAGACACATGAAACGATGCTCAGCATCCCTCCTCATCAGGGAAATACAAATCAAAACCACACTGAGATACCACTTCACGCCAGTCAGAGTGGCTAAAATGAGCAAATCAGAGAACTCTAGATGCTGGCGAGGATGTGGAGAAACGGGCACCCTCCTGCACTGTTGGTGGGAATGTAAACTGGTACAGCCCCTCTGGAAAACAGTGTGGAGGTTCCTCAGGAAACTAACAATAGAACTCCCTTATGACCCAGCAATAGCACTGCTAGGAATTTACCCAAGGGATACAGAAATGCTGAGGCATAGGAGCACATGTACCCCAATGTTCATAGCAGCACTCTCCACAATAGCTAAAACATGGAAAGAGCCTAAGTGTCCATCAACAGATGAATGGATCAAGAAGATGTGGTTTATCTATACCATGGAATACTACATGGCAATGAGAAACAATGAAATCTGGCCATGTGTAGCAACATGGATGGACCTTGAGGGTGTTATGCTGAGCGAAATAAGTCAGGCAGAGAAGGACAAATACCATATGTTTGCACGTATAGGAGGATTAGGAGGAACTTGACGGAGGAACAAGGGGGAGAAGAAGGGCGGAAATGGTGGGGGAAAGGGAGAGAGGCAAACCATGAGAGACTCTTGAATGCTGACAAAAACTGAGGACTGATGGATGTGGGGGGGAGGAGGGATGGGCATGGAGGAGGGCACTTGGGGGATGAGCACTGAGTGTTATGTGGAAACTAATTTGACAATAAACTATTTGTAAAAAAAAAAAAAGTTTAAAGAAATTCCTTTGAGCAGAAGGAATATGATGCAAGATAGAAATCTGGATTCACACAAAGGAACGAATACCATGCAAATGGTAACTGCATGGATAAGGATAAGGAATTTTTTCCATATTGTTTGAACTTCTTTAAAGGACAAGTGGCTGTTTAAAGCAAAGATAATATCAACATGTTATGGTTTCTATAGAAGTACAATGTATCTGGACAAAGCACAAAGCCTGGGAAGGAGAAGTAGAAAGATACTATTATAAATTTCTTATACAGTACATAAAATGGTATCATATCACTTGAAAGAAGACTGTGATAAGTTAAAGATACACCTACGACCCCTAAAGCTACCACTAAAATAACAAGACAAAGAGTTATAACTAATAAACCAATAAAGGAAATAAAATGTAATGGTTTAAATATGCACAAGTAGGCGGGAAGGAATATCCAATGGAAAAAAGTCTCTTCAACAAATGATGTTGGAAAAACTGGTCAGCTACACGCATAAGAATGAAACTGGGCCACTTTCTTACACCACACACAAAAACTCAAGATGGATTAAAAACCTAAATGTCAGACTGAAACCATAAAGATCCCAGGGAAGAGCACAGGCACTAATGAGGCAAGGGGAATAAAAGCAAATATAAACTATTGGGACTACATCAAAATGAAAAGCTCCTGCACAGCGAAGGAAACAAGAAAGAAAACTAAAAGGCTACCTACTGAATGGGACAAGATATTTGCAAATGATGTATCTGATACAGGGTTAGTATCCAAAATTTATAAAGAACTACAACTCAACACCCAAAAACCAAACAACCCCATTTAAAAATGGGCAGAAGATAATGAGCAGACATTTCTCTAAAGAAGACATTTAGTTGGCCAATAGACACATGAAAAGATGTTTAGTATCACTCATCATCAGGGAAATGATACACCAGTGTAAGTGAACAAACTATTGCTATAGGATGGTAACTTACATAATATTCAGTGAAAGAAGCCGGACCTACCAGAATATACTGTATAGTGCATAATATGAATTTGGAACCAGGCAAAACTGGCCTATGATCTTAAAAGTCAATTTAGTGTTTACTTGTAGGGAGAAAGGAGTGGCTAATGAGGGGATGTGGCACAGAGAGCCTCTGGGTGTGCCCTAGGTCTGAGTGCGTTCACTTTCATCAACCTTATTATTTATGCACTTTTCTGTATAATGCTGTGTTTTTAAAGACTTTTAAAAAGTGAATAATGCATTTCTCTTAGTGTGTGAGGATTACATAAAATAATGGATCCAAAGCACCTGGTTCTTTATATATGAGTAGTCAGTATTAATTAGTTCCCTTCCTTTAATCTGCTTCATATTCCCTGTTCCTTAGGAGAGAGATGCAGCATGATACCAGGATAGTAAGTTCCCTCATCTGTAGGTCTCCACTTCCACAGGTCACTTGCGGCGAATTGGGACGTGGTTCACATTTGCAAATTCCCCCAAGAAGTGGTGGCCCTCTGTCCTCAGTGTGTTTAGGAAACATAAGAGTTCTGGGCAGGAAAGCGGGCAGTGGTGAAATGGAGAAAGTTCTGTACACCGAGGTTCCAAGGCCGATTGGCCAGAGGGCGCCTGTGAGCGCCACAGCGGGAGCGGGGATTGGATTAAACCTTCCAGGAACCCCCAGTATGTGCAGAGTCCCAGGACGCGCGGGTTCAGTCGGCTCTCCGTGCAGCTTGCTCGAGAGTCCTTCTTCTTGTGCATGTTGGAGTCTCGGCAGGGCGTGTGGCGCGGAACCTGGTACCACGCTAGTGCCCAGGAAACGCTCGACTTTGTTTGCCCTGAACTCCAACACCAACGCCTTTCACCACCTAAAGCCAAATCCCAGCTCTCGGCCTTTGACACGTATGCTTTCAGAATTTCGGCAATAAGACAAAAAGAGGAAGGGTGTACGTTTGCAGAATCAGAGGCAAAGGAACCCACGTGCTGGAAGCGTCCTTTGGGGGTGCGGGCGCCAGCCGGAGGCCACCTGGGTCCAACCACCATAGCCGCCAATGTTTTCCTTCCAGGCGTGGATGCCCGGATCAGATAGATGCTGTTGTAGCTCGGTGACCCCACCTCCGTGCCACCTAGCCGGGCGGCGTCCCCCAGGAACACAAGGAGCAGCGGACACAGGCCGGGGAGGCTAGAGCGCGCTGCTGCCTCCTCAGAGACTCCTGCGCGGTGGGAGGCGATTGGGTAAGGAGGTTCTTTCAGCAGCTTGGCTCAGGTCCTCAAAGCCTCGCTTCCCGCCACCCCTCAGGGGTCTAGTCCGCCGGATCACTGTTAGTAGGACGGAGACCATTGCCGCGGGCGCTGGCCCGCGCGCTCCTCTCCGGGCCTGGCGTGGTCACTTTCTGGCTCCACCCTCCGAAGAGGCTTCCAGAGAAAGACTAGCGTGGCGGTCTTAAGGCCGGGGTGGCGTGGGCTGCGGGCGGGTGGAGCGGTGGAGAGGGAGTGAAGCCAGATGCCACCACCTGAACGCGCGGGGAAGCACAGAACACAGAAAGGAGGGGTCTCCGGGGTGATAGAGAGGCAGTGGCAGCCTGGCGTGACAGCGAAGGGTCCTTTGCAGGGACAGGTCCAAGGACGCGAGCCTCCTGAGGTCCTGGACGTGTCTCCCTCCACAGGTTCTGAGAGCAGGCAGAGGCGTGGAACGGGAGCGCCCAGGGCACCTGCTGTGGTGCAGATGTGCGGAGAGCTTATACCGTCCTCTCCCGTAGGACTGTACAATCTATAAAGAGGACAGAGGAAGGAAAACGCCCCAATACAGCAAAATACTAAGCCACAAAGAGGCGAAGACGTCTATCGCCTCCCTTGTCCATATGGTTCTGCCAACAGGCCACTCGGGCACTGACCTTTGGGGTTCCTAGAGGGGTGAGCTGTGTCGCTCTCAATACTGAAGTCCAAGACTGAATGCATCTAAATACCAAAGTAATAGATTTCCTCATAGTTAATAAATTCTTTCATAAAATGTGGAAAGTTTCAGAGGAAACAGCCACACCATCAGCCAGGATTCAGGGATCCAGGTGAGGTAGGTGTGTTTTGGGTCTCCAATACGGAGGGTTCCTGAGATTATCTTACAAAGCATTGTGTTTTCAATAATTGCCTTTGATCCACTGTCTTTGAAGCACAGCATTGGATGTGGGCGGGGCAGGAGCTGGGCCGGCCCCTAGAGCCTGGGTCTGCCAACACAAAGTAGACTGCCCTGGATACAATCCAGAGGTTGAGGTCTTCCTGAAAAAAGATTTCCTTTGCCATCAGTTTGTGGTGGGTGTGGGAGCTAGAAAGGAGTCCCCTAGGGCAGAGCCTGAGGCAGAGGGTACTGAAAAGTGTGCTAAGGCTGTCCTTTGGGTTCTGGGAAGGGAAAGTGCCAGCTAGCACCTTCTTTAGGATTGATTGGACTGCTCAGAGGGAGTTGGTGGCTGTTTTTTAAAAAACAAAACAGGGGCGCCTGGGAGGCTGATTCCGTTAGGCGTCAACTTCAGCTCTGGTCACAGTCTTGGTACTAGTGGGTTCAAGCCCCACGTTGGGCTCTGTGCTGACAGCCCAGAGTGGAGTCTGCTTCAGAATCTGTGTCTCCCTCTTTCTCTGCCCCTCCCCTGCTTGTGCTCTGTCTCTCTACCCCCCCCCCCCCACCGCCCAATAAAGAAACATTAAAAAAAACAAGCACCTGGGTGGCTCATCCGATTAAACTTCTTTTTATTTTTATTTTTATTTTTATTTTTATTTATTTCGGAGAGAGAGAGAGAGAGAGAGAGACAGCGTGAGCAGGGGAGGGTCAGAAAGAGAGGAAGTCACAGACTGAAACAGGCTCCAGGCTCTGAGCTGGCAGTCAGCACAGAGCCCCACGCGGGGCTCGAACCCACAAACCGCGAGATCATGACCTAATCGAAAGTCGGACGCTTAACCGACTAAGCCACCGAGGCGCCCCAATCCGATTAAACTTCTGACTCTTGATTTCTGCTCGGATCTCACAGGTTCCTGAGCCCCTCATGGGGCTCTGCACTGACCACACGTGGAGCCTGCTTGGGATTGTCCCTCTCTCTCTACCCTTCCCCTGTTCATGCTCTCTCTGTCTCTCTCAAAACAAATAAACTTTTAAAAATGGCTGTGGTACAGACCCAGGGACACCTATGCACCCACCCCAAAAGCATAGTTCCTGTGAAATTCTGCCTTCCACTAAGTTTGGGGATTTCACACCAATAAATCTAAAGTGTTGTCAGGTTCTTGTTTTTGTTTTTAAGTTTGTTTATTTGAGAGAGAGCAAGCATGCAGGGGAGGGGCAGAGAGAGAGACCGAAAGAGAATCCCAAGCAGGCTCAAACCATCAGCACAGACCAATGAACCGAAATGTGAGATCAGGGCCTGGGGTGGAGGGGTGGGGAGTGGAAATCAAGAGTAGGAAACTCAAAGGACTGAGCCACCTGGAGGTCCCAGGTTCTTATGAAAGCCTCTGGCTGTAATGTAGATAGCAGTAGTTGGTGGATGAGTCATAACCCACATGGCTACTGGTTACAATGAAGTTACAGCACCATTTTTACTTTCTGTACAACAAAGAAGTGTAAATACTCTTAACATTAAAAGAAAAAAGGTCATGGGAAGGAATGGAAGAGCAGCCACTGCCAGCAGAGCTGGCATTGCTGGCAGGTGGGAGAGCAGAGTGCGTGCCAGCCGGCATGAGAGGAACTGCACTCCAGTAGTTTCTTGAGGTGGAGAGTTCCCATCCCACAGGTCAGCCCCCTGGCGTGACAGCAGTTCCTGGGTAAGAAATGTTAATTTAAAGGAAACACAAACTCCCAAACTCAAGAAACTAAGCAGAAACATAGGTTATTATCTTCCAGCTTATGGGAGAACAGAGAAGACCTCTTCTTCCTTCTGTCTTGAAAAAGCAACTTTAAGTGTATATCCCTTCCAGGAAAACAGGTGTCAATATTAATGTTATCAGAGCTGCACATCATTGAGTTAAACAACACAGCAAGATAGGAGACTTTTTAGCAGTTAGTGATTTACTGTCATCCGACAGGGTGACAGTCTTAGAAGTCCAGGTGTTTAAACAATTCTCCTTTGCCAAAAAGGCATTTGGAAAGACAGCTTTACCCAACTGAGTCATACCTGCTTTTCTGCAGCTGTAAAGTAAAGGGACATTATCCACTAGATTCTTCTCCTGAAATCATTATTGGACTATATGCTAACTAACTTGGAAGTAAATTTAAATAAATAAATAAATAAATAAATTGCTTTGTGTTTTAAAAGAGCATATTTTTATCTCTGAATTTCAAAAGGCTCTATACTTTTAATTAAGCCTCAAATATACCTAATACATATTAACCATAATCCATATGTGAAAATGTATTGCTCTGTAGGCATGTATTGCATATATTAAAAAGGAAATGTCCTTATTTTTTAATCTAGTCAAACAAATTAAAATGCCTGTGTCTCTACATCATCAAAAAGAAGGTCTTGTTGTAGGATTGGCTTTTCGTTATGTAAGTTTGAAGTAGTAATTTTTGAAAAAAGAACATATGTTTCTCTACCGTCATTATGAACGGAGTTAAAGATGCTCTGTATAAACAGAAGGAAGAGATAGCTCAAGCAAGTAGAAATTAAAAAAAATTATTTTAATGTTTATTTTTTTGAGAGACAGAGAGGGACAGAACATGAGCGGGGAAGGGGTAGAGAGAGAGGGAGACACAGAATCTGAAGCAGGCTCCAGGCTCTGAGCTGTCAGCACAGAACCTGACGCCTGGCTTGAACTCACAAGCAGTGAGATCATGACCTGAGCCGAAGTCAGACACTTAACAGACTGAGCCACTCAGGCACCCCATAGAAATTTTATTTTTATTTTTATTTTTTAATGTTTATTTATTTATTTTTGAGAGACAGTGAGAGATAGAAAGAGACAGAGAGATAGAAAGAGAGAGAGAGACAGAGAAAGAGAGAGAGACAGAGCACAAGCAATGGGAGGGGCAGAGAGAGAGACAAAGAATCCTAAGCAGGCTCCAGGCTCTGAGGTGTCTCAAACTCACAAACCTCAAGATCATGACTTGAGCCAAAGTTTGGCACTTAACCGACTTAGCCACCCAGGCATCCTTTCTTTTTTCTTTTTTTTTTTTTTTTAAGGGACATTATCTGCTTATTTCACTGAGTCTGTAATTTTCAGGGCCAACCACTGCAGTTTGACTGGTTGCTGTGGAAAAAAAACAAATGCCAGATCCAAGAAACTAAAAACCTAGAATATGCAAGATTTCAGAATGGCATTATTATTATTAGAACTGTTGAGTGTGTGGCCTTTTACATTCATGAATATGGGACTAGGGGTGCCTGGGTGGCTCAGTTAGTTAAGTGTCCAACTCTTGGTTTAAGCTCAGGTCATGGTCTCACAATTGGTGAGTCCGACCCCTGCATGGGGCTCTGTGCTGACAGTGCAGAGTCTGACTGGGATTTTCTCTCTCCTTCTCTCTCTGTCCCTTCCCTGCTCACTCTCTGTCTCTCAAAATAAACTAATAAACTTAAAAAAAAATTTTTTTTAAAAGGGGAGGGGCAAGATGGCGGAGAAGTAGGGAACTTCCTACATTGCACTCGCCCCCAAATCTCACACGGAGAAGACCTGAAGCCATAGGAACCCTTACAGAATCCAGGAGTTTGGGAGGAAAAGGAGACAGAATACACTGAGAAAACCTTCTAACGTGAGTGCGAACTGGGGAAGATAAAATCGGGCCGGGACCAGAGACACAGAGAGACCGGGGCGATCCCTCTCTGTGGGGAGTGAGAGGGGAAAGAGAGAGGCCTAAACTGCTCAAGACACGGTCCCTGTCGCTGGGGAACAGAAAAACCTCCCCTCGCGACACAGAGGGACTTGGTCTCCTGCTCTCCAGCTGACCCTTGGTGGGATGCACTCTTCCCAGACAATCCCCGGGAAAACAGCTCCCTTCGCGCCACCTCCCTGCGCGCCAACTCGACCAGGAGGGGCCGAGCGGCGACCTCGCCTTTGTGCTTCTGGCTCGGCTGGATCCCTAGAGGGGAGGCGAAGGGCTTAAAACTGGGAGATTTG